GTTGTTCAAAAGCACTTCATATACGGGTGTGTTTATTAATATGTTGCAATGCAATGTTAAGGGATTAATTTATCAAACCTTCACGCTATATTTTACAAAACCACATAAGCATCTCTGACTATAAAATACAGTTTAAGATAATTTGTAATATCGTTTCACAAATATACATCGAAAGCGGCCAATTTTGGACTCCATACAATGACAATCAAAATAGCCATCTCAGCAGCGACATAAATCAAGTTGTTAGCTCACTCAACTTTATGGCAAGGTAATCGATTTTTGTTCCTCGAACAATCGTGAGTGATTGAGCAAGTCAATAATGAGGTTTACCTGGTATTGACTTCTCCAGGGGTTCTCTGTTGATGTTAACATTCAAAGGCGCCGTGTCAGACTAATTCAAATGTTCATAGACGTTTTTTTTTTAATTACCCTGCGGTCATGTTTATTTAGATATAAACTATGGATTACTTATATATACATGTACATACAAAAATAACAGGGTAAACAATTTATTTATCAATTATCTTTTAAATTTTTTATACATAATTTTATTTATTTTCATTAATTTAATAACATTAATAAAATGAATGAAAATATACGTTAATAATTTTTTTTTGTTAAAACCGTTCTTAGAGAAGGAACAATAAATAAATAAATAAATAAATAAATAAATAAATAAATACGTATACATAGAAAGATAAAAAATATTTTGGTGAGAGAGGGAGTGAACCTAAATTATTCAACTTACTAATGAGAGAACAAAACTGAATAGTGTGTGTAATAAAATCTCATCGAATGATTGCCAACTATCACCTCTCTCTTGAAAAAAATATCAAAACCATAGCATACATACATGTACTATCATTTTACATGTACCTAGACACTGACGCAACACTCGTTACTTTAATCAAATACGAAAGTCACTGTTTATTGATTAGACAAAAAAAAGAAAAACTCCCCTTAAGCCCATATTTACTATCGTGCAAACCTATACTGAAACCAGGAAGCGATCACTACATGTTACATTCAAAAAGGCCGCCAGGGTTCGCTATACAGTGTCAGTGAGATGAATCCTAATGGTTATTCCTGAGTGGAGTATTTTGAAAGTCATACTGTTGATATATGAGCAGTATAAGTGTACGGAGGCAGGTATGGATGACTAATTACACATGATAAAGCAAGGATGGATGTGTCGAGTTCAAAATGATGGATTTATAGTACAATCGAAGCTGAAGCCCAGTAATTCTGTGATGTTGGACCGTTATGAAGTGGTGAAGGGAGATTAGAAGTCAGAGTCAGATAAAAAATATAGGCAATTCCAAAAATAAATCAATGATCGAATTAAAAGACATGTCAAGAAGCCAAATACAGTAGATCTGGGAGCAGAACCGGTTAAACCGTTTGGTAATTATTTCATCATCCTATATTGCGTTGGGGTATTTTAGAGTCACGTGTAGTTTCCGTGACCACCTACTATATATGGTATCATTATCTTTGCAATAGAAAATCTATGTAACCTATAAACAAACTATGATTGGTCTTGTTCCTGCATTGTATACTTCGTTTCAAATCGTTGTATCATTATCTTTGATACCATTCCGTACACAATTTGTCGCATGACTGGTCTCTTCTGATATTATTTATCATTTTACCTGAAATGCCCCTCTTGACCAAATCACCCCTTGAACATTGACTGTTTTGATTTGCGGTATATTTTCGTCCATTTGCGTGATTATCCGCTCATTTATATTCACTTGTTAAGCAATTGATTTTTGCATTAATATATTCATTTGTTCCTTCATTTATCTAGCTATAGCTGACTGGCAATGACTCTACCACTGCCTGCATGACACTAAATGTATGAAGTTACAAAACGTTGTGTTACGTTACTGATACATTGTGCCCTTATGTTTATGACGTCAGCCCTTTTTGAAATGGCCTTTGCGTGCAACTAGAATTAACCAAGCTATTCTTTTCGCGCTGCCTCCGATACAAAGCTGCGACAATCTGTTATCTACTGATTTTGTAAAGAATGGTGTTTGGATTGATGAAAAGGAGGAAGTGCAAAATCGACCAACAGCAATAGAAAATCTATGTAACCTATAAACAAACTATGATTGGTCTTGTTCCTGCATTGTATACTTCGTTTCAAATCGTTGTATTATCCTTTTTGGAGAATAAAGCCCATGTCATGATGTTTCTAACACTAAGAACCACTTTCAAAGTTTTTATTTGTTGATTTTGTTTTTTTTATCTGTGTGATACTACCGAGTATAGTGTAAATATATATGTATTTCTTATGGCCCATTTAAATATTACTATTCACCTCTTTGAGTTTACAATTTTAGCGATTTGCTACTTTAAATATTGCTATATGCATAGATGCATTTTCTGTTTCTTATCAGGCATTACCGGCCCATCAATTTGGGCAAGATAATTTCAAGTTGTAATCTGTATGCTTTACAGCCTTTTTAGGGAATGTTATTATATATATATATATTGCAATCTGAATGGATGTGCATTATAGACGTCTGTTCCTGGCAATCTTCCCACCAATTTTGGACACAAAATTTCAACTTACAACGTTTCTGGTTCACAGTAATTTCTGGTAGCTCTTATTGTATACCTTCCAATCTTAATGGATGTACATCTGGATCATAACTAATATCTTTCCAGGCGATCTGCCCAGCATAGCTCGGGAGCCGAGGCCAGCGGAGGATATGTGGCCGCCAATAACGTGAAGATGTGGAACTGGTCCTTGGACGACGAGTTTATCCAGGTTATATTCAGTACGTTTCGTCATTTCAGACACTAAAACCCCCTGACTGGACTATCGAGAAAATAGTTTATATAGTCTGATTTTAAAGTTCAAGCTTCTGTGCGGTAATGCACTGTAGCCAAATCGAATCTGTACTCATACATTAATTGAATGTGTATAAATGTTCATATTATCGTTATGTACCGGTAATGCATATGGCCCAATTAAACAAAAAGAAGCGATTGCGCAACTGTTTGGCATATACAACGTCGGTTTCATCAGGTTACCATCCCTCGTTCAGTAAAACACGGTATCCGGTACTCAATTAAGGAACATTATTATCCCCAGATGATACTTGCAATGTGTATAAAATGCATCAGATTTTAAGATTAATGCTATTCAACTACACACTTCATCATTTTTAGGAAAGGACACTATGGAATGCTGGGTAAACGACACCAAGGCAGAGACCATGGTAAGATTGATTAATTGAATGTTCACAATGCGCGTTAGACTGTAGAAGAATTATAATGATAAATTTTCCTGAAAATGTTCCTGGAAATTATCTTTATCAATTAAACATTCATGATGATCGATTGTGGAAAAAAGTGCAAAGAGAGACGGGGTCTCAAAAGTTTTCTGCATATATAACACAATAAAAAAAAAACTTATTTATATTTTCAGGTTGGGTATTATTTGCTTTCATGATCAAGCACAATTTCTGTTATAATTTTTGTTGTTGTTATTATTATTATTATTATAATTATTATTATAACTGATCAAAGTGACTAAATTATATGCCTGACGAACGGCTTCAAATGTTCCTTGACTGAATTTCAGTGCAACTTTTCGGATACCGGCGCTGAGATGGATTTCTGCATCGGCAGTCACAAAGCCCGAATTAAGAGTATGCAAGGTATGGGAAAGAGAGATGGCATCATCCACGTCCTCACCATCGACGGTTACGTCATACCGGAAGACACGACGTAGATAATGACGTCATTTTCTGAAATTGCGCTGCTGGTAGAATCTAAAGCATTCAACATACAGTATAATGTTTATAAATTCCATATGTAACAAAGTCTTTGTTTTCAAAAGTATTAATAAGTTTAAATATTCATTTTATTAGTATTGTTACATTAGTTTTGATTTTATGAATCAGCTCCTTTATTTCTCAAAAGTCAAAGTGTACTAACTTGTATCTTTAAATCATCACATAATGACCTTTATTAAGACAATAATATAGACTGCATGGTTATTAATTTGCATATTTAAATGTTGGCAATGTTAAAACAAAAAATATTTGTATGAATATGCATCTTAAATACCTACGAAAAACGTAAGTATACGGAACAGAGTGTACCATATTGAGTAATAAATATATGTAATTGACATGCGTATAAGTAGGTGCGTGCGCATGCCGAGTAGGACAAGTGGAACAGACAAGTAAATCAGGCCAGAAAGAGAGAGTATCAGATAAAATAAGCTTATTTTTTTGCCCTTGGAACTACGAATAATATGTCCAAATTAATCCGTCCAATTTCAATAACGTGCCATTAAAAGCAAAAAAAGTTTTTTGAAGTGTTCTTGAAGTAAATAATTTTGTTAGTATGAAAAATGTTTACAGTATCTCAATGATTTTCCGTCCAAAGTAAAAAATATATATATATATACATGAAATGGAGACAGAGGCCATATAAATAGAATTCATGACGTCATAATGGAGAAAGACTTCTAAAATGACGCAACCAAAGCAATCAACGCCTTAAATGACGTCATCAACGTTTGTAAGAACGACATTTAATCAAAGGTATATAATTGAGTTGTGTTATATTGCTGGTATATCTGTATTTACAAAACTCTTTACAACTGTAGTAAGTTAATTCCTGTAGTTTTACAACTACATTGTGAAAGATACATGTTTGAGAATATTTGTCTTTGAAATGCATATGTGTTTTCAATAAACAGTGATTGTTGAAATTATCGTGGTAATCTACTTGGACATGAGCATGTCTGTGTTAGGACAACGACGTCATTATTGACAGAAATAAAGATTAATTTTTTTCGAAAATAAAAGGGAAAACCTTCATTAATCCATTCTTCATTTTATGAAGTATGTGCAATATGAATATTTACTTCTGAAAAAACTAAAAGTGCTTTTACCATCTCTAAACAAGGACTTTTTAAAAGTTTTCATTCGTTTTTCTCGCAAGTTAAATAATTATCACACTTGACGTTAATAAGACACCGCAACAGTTATTTATTTATTTATTTATTTATTTATTTATTTATTTATTTATTAACTACGATACAAGCTCATTTTTAAATTAATATGTTTTAAATTGTAAAGAATTAACTGTTACCTAGCAAATACAATATACATGTCGTAGTATATGCACATCTTGATAGGGTTGTTTTTGCAGATTGAAAAAATATATATATGTTGAAAGTTGTTTATATCACAGTTAACTCTACATCACACACACATAAAATGGGTCCAAGTGGACTGCAAACCCTACTTAACCTTGCATCTTTTGACATTTTCGATACAGTGCCCATGGCAATTAACCAATACTCCTAAGATATATACGGTATATATAGTATAGTCAATGGGGAATTCATATGGGGTGGGGTGTAACATGACAGAGAGTCCTCCATGATAGAGAGTCCGCTTTTCATTCATTTGTCCAGGTAAGCCTCGCCCTAGGTTTTGACCCTCTTAGGTCAGGCTAACCCTAACCATTATAATTAAATGGAGGGCGGACTTTCTGTTACACGCACCCTCAGCTTTGTTACAGGGGCAGAGCAGGCGTGTTAACTTCCCAAAGTGTCTGAGGTACTCCTTACACCACCATCTTCCTATAAAAAGGAAATATAAATAAATATGTATAAGCAGATAACAAACAAACACCCCAGCACGACGACATCCTTACGTTTTTTTTTTTGTTTTTTTCGCAAATAATAATTCGTGAACCGGGGCCCATTTGTTTACAAAGTGCGCCAACCAGTTAATGCTTAATGTTTAAAGGTAAGTTTATCAGAACTGAATCTTGTTGCCTAGGAGACTTGGGGGCACACCGGAATCTCGCCGAACAGATAAAATAATTTCACGAGTATTTGCACTCATTAAATTGAAATAAGTCGGTCTGAAATGCGTTTGTTTCATAAAAAGGCGTCTGCACCAACGAAAAGATGCTAATATATTGCCTCTTAAATGTGCATTTGGAGTCACAGTGACCATCATTACGTGTTATTGAGACGCCAATCTATACTTTTGTTTTTTAGCATGGGTACATATGCTATGTTTGCAGAGTTTCCAAATATTTTGCGTAACTGTTAGAATGGAATTGATACACCTGTTACCACCTGAAGTGAATATACCAGGAATGCATTTAACCGTTCATTTTCACTTGTTTATAGATGTGATGTATCTTTTATCATTTAGTCGCCTTTTCTTTCGAAAACTTTCTTGAATTTTTAATGCGAGTTCAGTTCCACAACTGGACACTGCTAAAAAAATTAATAAATAAAATAAATAAATAAATAACGTCTAAAGAGTGACCCGCTCTGCTTGTCGGGTACTTTTGACGCTCTTATATAATGCTACTGATTTTTTTTAAATTTGAAAATCGTTAAAATGCTTTGGAAAGTAATTTATTTTATTTTATTATTTTTGGGAGAAGATTCTTAGAGACATACACATACCTCTATGATTTTTGTTCCCAAAATCACACCAGTGTTTTAATTTGCCGCCCTAAAATTCTGTTAAAAACTTTAGCGGCCAACACAAGAAATTATATTGCCCATCTCTAATGGACGAGTTCGTGTCAAGAAAAAAGAACTGGGACAGCTTCACACACCAAGCCATATAATGAAGGAATCAATGCAAACACAGAAACGAAAAACCTTTCATAAATTTTCTTGAAAACAGGAGTGCTTAATGGGTATTTACAAAATTAATGATAAAGATATTTTCAAGGATTGAAACCCAGGGAATTGGTGCATGGTCCAATCTCAACTCTCAAGGGAAAAATGCCGCAATAAAAAATGATGAATTCCAATTGCATTTGTACGTTAATGTGTCTCTGTAAGTCTGCTGACATCGAATTTAAATACTGCTGAGGAATACCTGTCCATACATGGACTGGTAAATTAATGAATAAATAAATAAATAACAAAAACTAGTAAGCTGAAAAATAAATTAAACAACAAGTAAACAGCTAAATAGATAGGCAATTAAATGAATCGTGAATTGCTAAAAAAATTTTTTTTTTTTTTGGGGGGGGGGGGAGGGGGGATCCTGTTAGGGGAGAAACCCTGACCCAATGCTGTCACCCACCAGTAAACTTACACATACCGCTGATATAGACAGACAACCTTGACGACTGAAGAAATGTGTCTCTTTATGTGCTGAAGTTTTATGTTTAATGTCGAGAACACAGACTAAATCTCAAGCATACCAAAGGAACTAATGGTCTAATTCTGCCGGATCTAGGATTTTCCTAGCGGTTGAGTGAGGCATGAAAGTGCATGAATGAAAGCCACTCAAACATAAAACAGTACGCGCTATGTTTGTTATCGTAACACATAAGGTATATAGATGGCAGAAAAGTGTGGTTTTGTCTCATTTGGCTCGTGTATACTTTTTTGAGAATAAGAAGTGTACATGTGTACCAAGCGGGTGTACGGCCGAAGGTAAGGAAGAGGCACATGTCAGCTCTGTCCTCTTCGTGAACCCGGTATTCCCGAGGTACCACGACTAGATTGGTCCAATTTCTTCCATCCAGACTGAAAAAAAATATTTGGAAATCATAAGGGCTATTCATATAAGCGGTAATGGACACGAGACAGATGCTTTCGTGGCAGTCGAAGTACGTCTCTTGGGAACGGGCGGGGTTGAAATGCGCCATTTTAGTTTGAAAACGAGGTAGCCTCGCTCTCATCCCTCACCCACTTTCCTTCCCTGTTCTGCCTGTCAAACTGTATAGGCCTACTGTAGGTACACTGTATGCCTACTGCTATACATAACAGAGCTTGCATCATAAATCTTTAACCACTTACACTATTGCAAACCTTCCATAAAACAATTAGACCGTGTAGTTTTATTAGAATGTCTTTTTTATGACATATTTTAATATGATAATTATTGAATAACTAGATGTGACTCTGAAAATACGCTATATTCATGGCCGTGGAATGCCAAAAAAACAATTATCATGTTCTTTTTACGCCTCTTCCCTGTATGTGGAAGAGCGTTAATTCTACTCACGTCTAAGAGAAAAACATTTATTCCTAATTGCCTATTAAGTCGTCTGCATCCTCACATATCGGGGTTATATCTTCCAAGGGGGAAATTTGTGGAAATTGTTGGAGGAAATGTATATTAGTATACTAAGAGAACTTTGTATTTTTGTTTGCACCGTCTCGTAAACCAAAAGATCAGATGATATTGCTGTAATGAATGCATTTACATGCCCACGTCAAGGTTAGACCGCAGTGTGTGATGCCAGGGGAATGGTTCGGAAATGTTCTTACATGAAAAATGAAAGAAAATAAGGCGGTCCAGTGCACAAAAGACTGTATCTAATATGAATTAACTGTCGCTAGCAATCCTCGTTGTTACATGTATCAGAGCCCATAAATGTCCATATTTTACTCGAGGGTAAAAAAAAATAAACAAAAGAGGCCGTGAGCATAGTTTTACGTGACTCCTCATTTTTATAGAATTGGAATCGGTCTACTTGAGTATAGTTTGAACACACGCAGAGTACCTGTGGTGGAATAAAGGTTGTCCGGGGTAACCCATCTCCTATAATTTCCCAAAAACGACCATTTATATTGCAGTCAGATTCAGCAGAGGCGTGACATCTCACTTCGCAGTCGGCACTTGGCGGGTTCGGGGTTAGTTTTTCGGCGGAGAGAGACATAGGTTGGGCTTGGAGAGAAGCGGCGTGCCAAAACTTCAGCAAATCACCCTAAGTCCTCGTCTGTGGATTTAACTCCACGGGAAAGTAGCAAAAGAAAGGAAAATGAAGGAGTTGAAGGCGTTAACATGGCTGGTAGTTGGAGTGATGATGTTGTTTTCCTCTGCTAAGGCAGCAGATTCATGTTGCTGTGAAGGTATGTTCAATTTAACTTACAACTCATTCGAAACATGATCATTTAAGTTTTAAATTAACTCAGGGTCATTACCCTTTCAATCTAAGGTCTTTCACGGTAATTTTGTTTTTCTCTGGGATCATTGTGCGACTTGAACGCTCTTCAGCTAAACTGGTTCATAGAATTTTAATCGATAGGTAAAAATTGCTAAGGAGAGAAAATATTGCTGAATAGTTCCTGTAATAAACATAAATAGCCATACGAGGAACGCAAAAAGAACACCCCGCCTAAATAACTTATCGAACTTCACTTCTTTTCAAATCAGTATCCATGCTCTTGTAAGGTATAGATAAATAAAAAAAAATCGTCCTATGATACTCTAAATGGATATTTTTGCCTCCTTTGTGGTAATGCCGCTATATCTTACAACTCCCATCGAATAAATCAGACGATTTTCCCCCCAAACGTACGGAGTTCATGAGTCATCGCAGTGTGAATACAAACATCTTATTTTTGCAAGAAATGGTTAGACAAAACTTGTAAACGACGTTCCCGTGGTTTTGTAGTTCGTGCTTAGATTTTGAGAAACATTTGATGACACATGGTACATAATGTAATTAAACAGAAAATAACTCTTAAGGGGCGTTTTATTTCTTTTTGATGTACGTGTTTAGACATTACAATACATGTATCGGTATAAAAATGTCTGTTGAACTGATCAAAACCTCAGCAAGTCACCGAAAGCCCTCGTCTGTGGATTAAATTCCACGGGAGAGCAGCAAAAGGAAAGAAAATGAGGGAGTTAAAGGCGTTAACATGGCTGGTGGTTGGATTGATGATGTTTACCTCTGCTAAAGCAGTAGCTACATCTAGCTGTAACGGTATGTTCATATTTTACTGAGAGGTTATTTGAAACACGATGGTTTAAGTTTCAAATTAATACAGGATATTTCACCTTCAACATTCGGTCTTTTCACGTTTTTTTTTTATTTTATTTTATTTTATTTTCTTGGATCATTGTACGACTTCAAGGTGTGTAACTGATCAAAATGTACCCGACCTTCTTTTATCGGGTTTTAGCGGGTCCTTAAAAACCAGTAAGTGGAAACTTCTGCAAAGTTCTTACGGCGCATTTCAAATTCAGAAAATGGGGTTTTAAATAAGTCAGGTGCTTCTAGTGACGTCATGAAAGTCTTTCTGTTCGTCGGTCATTCTAATTTACGTTACTTTCTGACGTTAACTGCAAACCTAATGGAAAAATAAGCAGCAGAAACGAATGTTTTACATGACTAAAACACAAAATGGACGTGAGCTTAAAATAGACTGGTGAAAAGGCTTGTCTTACTCCGCATCTGTGAATGGTTTGGTCCCCAATAAGAAAAGTTCAATGTAGAAGGTGGCTTGGAGAGAAAATATTGTAGCCAAATGCGCCCACGATGTGGTGAATAGATAAATATCAACTAAAACTAAGATTAAGTGCATATACTTAATTGAAAAAGTTTGAATCAGATTTTTTTCTCTGAGAGCATACCTCAGTATACAGAATTCACTCAAATTACAGGGTTGCTACTTAATATGGAATATTTTTTATCATTGTTATTTTTGAGTGCTGATTAAATATTTTTTGGCTTGATTCATCAAAAAAGTATATCATTGAGTGAGCAAAATATCCAGTCTTCTATTGTGAGATATTTTGGTCAATAATATCAAATCTGACATAAGATGTCATTCAAAAGAAAAGAACACCCCCAGAAAACCATATCAACAGTTTGATGTCAGTATTAACTTTAAGCTAAGATATTAAAGAAAATGATAGCCTCCGGACAGTGATATGTTACACAGTCAAAGAAATCATTACAGTAAATCATGAAAAGTCATCAATAGCGGGTATGACCTCCAGCAGCCGCTTGCAGCGCCCTCATCCTACATGCCATACCCTGTGACAAGTTTTTTAGAGTTTGGATGGGGATATCATTCCACGCAGTGATATTTGCCTGTCGCATTTCATCACTATTTAACGGCCGATGACCATAGCTTTTAATTCTCTGAGTTACTCCCGCCCACAGATTTTTAATTGGGTTAATTACTGGGGAGTTTGCAGGCCAGGGCAGTTGCTAACCCATTGGTTTTGAAGAAAAACAGTGATTCTGCGAGCTCGATGTGGGGTTGCACAGTCGTCTTGGTACACAAAGTTGTTCCTGAAGATTACTCTTACAAATCGAAGCATTGTTTGCTGTAGAATGTCTCTGTAGGAACCCTGGTTGAGGTTGCCTCCTAGAAAAACCAACTGGTTCTGGGCACCGGCATGGAATGCTCCCCAAACAGAGACGTTACCACCCCCTGTTTGCACCCTAGGTAGTACACAATCATCGTTTTATGCCTCTCGTACACGTCGGCGGACACGGATTCGACAGTCAACCCCCAAAATTCCATATCTGGCCTCATCACTGAAAACGACGTGATTCCAGTGTTTTGGCTGCAAACGCAGGTGGTCCCCAGCCCATTGCAGACGACGCTGTACATGACCTGCTGTTAACAGAGGTTTCCGTACTGGTCTTCGTGCAAAATAACCAGTTTGCTGTAATCTCTTGTTCACAAGGGACCTTGAAACGGGCGTTTGAAAGGCATTCTGCCACTCTTTTTTGAGGGCACTGGTTGTCTTTGTACGACCAGCACGGCGCACTCTAAGGAGAAGGCGATCTTGTCTTCTTGGTGTGGTACGCGGACACCCTGATGGAAGTATAAGAGTAGGTGCCCCTGTTGTAGCATTTGTTTGGAGGACTTTACTAACGGTTCCTGAAAAATGTTGAATTGTCTGGCAATGGCTGTCCGTTTCTAGCCATTTTCTCTGAGAGCAAGAATCCTATAGTAAGCTGCGTTGCTTAGCTGTCGAACCATATCTTCTCTAAGGTAATTGACAAGTTTCAGAGCGATCCCTTTGTTGCTTCTCTAAATACACTCCAAAGATTGACCAAACCCATGCGTTTTTATACAAGGGCAGAAATTGACGAAAAGACCACCCCTCACATTTCTAACCACAGAACATACAACTGCTTACATTAATTGTTTCGAAAGTTGCAAGGTAATTAGGTAACACACCTGGCTACACATAAGTGACACCTCAATTTTGGATTTAAAATAGTTGGAGAGAAATGAAATATTTTGTAGAACATTTTCTCGACAAAAAATAATATTCCATATTATGTGGTAACCCTGTAATTACAGCTTTTTTGGTGGGGAAGGGGGTTGGTGTGCTTGTTGTAGGGGGATGGCAAGTGGGTATTCCTTGAGCGTACTTCTGTCCATGAAACACGTCAAAAATGTCTGTTATATTTTAATGCGTATTAGGCAGACTTTAAAACATTAAAATCTTTGTTCACCCCTTCATACCTCTCATACCGCTCTGTGACCTTATGTGACACGTAACATATGAATTCCAACACCTTATTGGGTCAAGATATCTTAATGCAGAAATTAANACGCTGTTGATACTACGTCATAAAATACGTGCGAGAATCCCCGAGAGATGGAACAAACCTTTCAGCAGCAAAGGTGAATCTTTAATATAATCGGAGATTTCGCCTTTACAAACAAAAAGTAACACACAGAACTATTTAATTATATCTAAATAATGGCTTTTCTATGAATGACTGTAAAATAACCGAAAAAATATTCGGGGAAAAGTATGCCAGCTTTAGTTCAGTACCATACCGAACTTACTAGTCTGCCATTATTTCTGACTTCTCTCTTCTCTAAATCTCAAGAAATATTGTTAGATTTTTCGCTAAATCGCGAGACCTCGAGTAATATCGGTAATTGCATCAGTAATTTGTTGAATGGGATTTGTTAATATAAAGAATAAAATGCATAAGTACCAAAAATATGTAAAACACAAAAATCATTTGGCAATTTCGGCATACTTTTACAACCATTCATAAGTAGTTATTCTTTATTTCTTATTTTCATTACTTTTTTTATTAATATGTCATACATCAATTGAATTCCATATTTTGATTGAGTTTTCAATTATTATTCTATTATTATTCTCACGTCTACAAGCATAAATACTTCATATCATCATTTCTTTTTACTATAGTACAGCAGAAACAAACCGTATAAACCGTTCATTATTCTTGTGACCTGTCACTTCCAGGCTGTCCCGATGGTTTCGTGAAGTTGGGAGACTACTGTTACCGCTTCGTAAGCCAGGCCAAGTCTTGGGCTGACGCACGCGCAGACTGCTTCGCTAACGGCGGTGCCGACCTGATCAGTATTGAAAGTGCGCGAGAACTGGCCCTTGTCACACAGTACTTGGATCTTAACGGCGGTACGTATCTCTCTGTATCAAAGCCCCCTTTACACTGGACGGCGTCCTTTCTGCATCACGTAGTGCGGCCCTTTTTGTGAGTAAAAAACATACTTCACGTGCCGACAACTGGCCGATCATTGAGCATTCATTTTGCAACCAAAGCGATGCTTGTGCTACCTTTCTACGACCACAGTGATGCCAGTTTCATGGTCTCACAAAGGAAGCAGAAAGGACGCCGTCCACTTTAAAGGGTGTATTAGTTAATGTTAAGTCAATTTCGGATGGGGATTTTTACCATTAAATGTAGACATAGGAAGATATGCAAACACAATTAATATGTAAAAAAGAATTAAAAGATAAGAAACAACTCCATGAGATATTATTATGCAGTGGGTAATTTATTCGGACATTATTTGAGTAACGAATATTTGCTACGGATAATAAATTCTGAATATTTAATAATAATAACAAATTGTGACAGTGGAATTTTCTGAGAGGGGGATTAGATCTTCGACGTAGCCATATCAAAAGCAATCATGGAATCGAGCTGAAACGCAGAATTCTGATTTTTTAAAAATTTATTTGTTTATTTATCTTTATTTTATTCTAGGCGGTTTCAGCAAATTCTGGACGTCAGGGCGCAGAATGGAAAATGCTGAGGAGATTTCCAAATCACTTGATAATCCGATAGAAGTATCCAGACAATTTTACTGGGGAACCGGTAGGTGATACATGGCATTTCTCTCTCTCTCTCTCTCTCTCTCTCTCTTGGTCACTGTCTCTCTTTCTTATGTAAAAACTTGTTGAGCTTAGATATAAACTAAAAGACAAACATATTGACTTTAATTATCTGTATATTGAATGGTTGATTAATTACATCTTTTAAAGTCATTAGATTAATCGATGCAAAAGTTATAAGATAAAGCAAAAGTGCATATACTCGTCTTTGACAAAAGTATCCGACAAAGCTTCACAGTATCCATTTAGATCTTAAGTCTTTGAATGAATAGGCCTACATGTTTTTTTTTAATTATTTTTTAATATATTATTACATTTTTTACAGGATTTGACTTCAGTTACTGCCAGTGGCTGCCAGGAGAGCCCAACAACCATAACAACAACGAGAACTGCGTGGAGCTGAGGTTCTGGAGAGGACGTATTGCAGGAATCAACGACGGGGTGTGTTCCACCGCCAACTCCTACATCTGCGAGAACTTGCACGTGTAGAGTGCGTGTACTGCGTCTCTGAAACTATGAATGGACTGTTTTTTCTGTCGTCATTTGTCTCCGGATTTTTATCTTTCGTCAAATATTGTGCACAAGGACATACAGTTTTGAAATTAGGAATGGATTGGATGTTCTTTGACTATTGACGTGTTTTATTATCGGACTTCGTATGGGCAAGGGCAACAAAATTGTTTCGAGATCTTTAGAAGTATTTGTCTTTGGGTTGGTCTAAAATCTAAACCATGGAATCTCTGTAATGGTGTCATCAGTATTTTCGTGATTCAAACCAAAATAGGTAATTTTTCCACCATTTCCACTTACTTTTGACTATAAGATTTTGCCATTTAATAGAAATGTTGTTCACCTACTTAGATAAGTAGTTTACAGTGATCTTGAAATTTGAGAGAATTTGGTATTTTTTATATTTAGATGTGGAAAAGTTTAACACTTGGAATTAGTAATTTTGCCAAGAAAAGTAATGTTACACAGCAAAAAAAAAAATATGCATATCAAATATTACTTTTGCTAAAATTGTCTGCAGTTTGAATTTGCTGTTACACAGCAAAAAAAAATATGCATATCAAATATTACTTTTGCTAAAATTGTCTGCAGCATGGATTTTTGAAGTGATATTAAGAAGGATGTTTTTCTGTCTTTACCTACAGTATCCGCAATGTGTTTAAATGTTATAATTTCCAGCTTTATTTATTTTTTTTAATTTTTGGGCTCGAAATGGCAGTGAGTTTCAAAATACTCTATAACATCTTTAACGTAGCTAACTTCGAAGAGCCAAAGGAGGACAACAAACATTTATTTATATATATGCGAATCTGTAAATCAAAATATTTTATTATCGCTTTGCAGCGCAAATGCTTATGGTTTAAAAAATAATTAAAATGGGCCATATTTGTACATATTGTATATACATGGCGCTTTGTGCGCCAAAGACATCACAGACTTATGATAGGTAATATAATGTATTGTGGTGAGCATTAAAATTGATTGTAATAACTTTATTAAGAAGAGTTAAATGTCATTGAGATAAATGCTGATAGAGGTTAACATCAAATGAGACCGGTTAAAGGCAATGAAAGAGAAAGCGACAACCAATATAATGCAAGGAATGACATTAGACGACATGGCGCATTCTTAAAGACGCCATCACGTCTCTGACTTATGTTGAAGCGTGCAATTAATAAATTCTTTCGGATTGAGAAGAGTTTCGGGTTAAAGTTTTTGGCTCTTTAAACCACATATAAAGCATCAATTAATGGCATTTTAAGAAAGTTTAAGTAGAAACAAAAACGTTTACAAAGCGAAAAAACTGTTGGTATGTTGGATTTTAACGGCATTCGCGTGTATGTGACGACTCGTAAAAAAGTTGAACATTTTTTTCTTTTTGATTTGAGATGTTTTTAGTCTGGACTTTTTGGTTGCAAAATTCCTTTATCAATGTGCGATTAAATTCAATGCTAGGTTGTAAAGGTCCATTCTAAAAAAAAAAAGATAACTTCCACCGATGTTTAACAATATTGATATTATCGCTGAAGTCTTCAGCACTTACACTTTTGTAATTCTTAGATTTGCGTATAACAGTAACTAACAATGATCAGAAATTCTTAAAAAATAGACAATCCAAAAAAACACGACTTTCTTTTGTCAACCGCTATGAACTGATTTTAAACTTCAGGTTGGCCTATTTTAAAGTTTCACTAAAAATTCGAAGTCATTCGCGATTCTTCAGAAGGTATATCACTCCATAACTTTGGCGCATATTATAAAAGCTCGTCTACATAGAATTTACCTTTTTTTCTTTAGCCAGAATGTCTAAAATTAAATAATTTTCATAAAGTGGAATTTTATTTAAAAAAAAAAAAAAAAAAAGAGAAAAAGCAGATGTAAAAACAAACCTGCTTTATTTCAACTTTCTTTGCTTCATTACATATTTTTTTTCAAGATTTACCGGGGATCCCGAGATAACCACTTGGTCATCCATCAACACGGTAACTAAGAGTTTTGGTCATTATTATCATGGATGCCCAGTAGTAAATTAACTCATTTATGATCATTATTTCATTTCACTCTTTCTTTTCTCTTTTCAGCTTTGCAAATGCATCATTTCTACATACAAGTCCTCATTGCACACATGATATTTTTTCCGATACTGGACCTTTTGCTTTCTCGACTTCTCACTTTCTTCCATTTTCTCTGCTGCGTAAATACAGATCTTTATTTTATCCTGTGCTGACCGTACTTGTATTGACAGTTATTGGTCCGTCTTTCCCAATAATGTGTTCATAAAGCCTGACCCATGTTATCGAAATGTCAACTTTTCTGCTGATACTGACGTTAGACTTCAATTTTCCTGGTAATTTCGTCCTTCTTGGATGGCGCCTAGGTATACCATCTCCAAAACCGTTAATGAAATCACAATTTATAAATCAGTCTCTGAGTTCTCAATTTCTAATTTCCGAGTCACTCTTGTAATGCAGATGGAGACAGGCAAATTTCACATGTGACAGTAAACAATATCGGCAATTATGAACTCAAAAACGGACTTATAAACATGAAATTTGCCAACAGAAAGACATGCTATACCATGGTGACGACAAAGAAAGCAGACATCTCCAAGACTGTCCCCCAATATAAAGCGCTAGCGCACACTTTATGCCTTCAAATGACTCCTCACTGTCGTGACTGGCTTTCCTGTCCGTCGCCGTTGGGACCCTGAGACGGGGGTCGAGATGGACTGGTCTTTGGTTTGGGCATTCTGTTCAGCAGTGTGCTGATCTCTTTCTTCTCGTCAAAACTCTTACACAGATCATACAACGCCAGGATGTGACGTGTGATCTCTAGGATCTAGCAGGAAATATATAGAAGAATGTTAATACCTGTGGTCATTATTATAAATTTTAAGTAAAATGGTTCATCTTAATTTATCATTTTTATCTATTAATTACTTTTAATTTTTTTAACATTACTTTGGTAAAGGCAAAAACAAATTAAGGTGGTTCAGAACACATTACAATAATAATTATCATAATAATGGTGGTAAAATTAATGCATAAGTGAAGTAAAATAAATATTTAGTAAACTAAAATATTAATTACTGACAATAATTAATTTTCACAACTACATCAATAATTATATTAATTAATAATAAAAAAGTTCCAGGCACTTAACAATCCTAATACCTGTACTTAAGCTCTCCTGTAATAAAAAATTATACAACTAAATAAAATGCTTCACCTTATCCATATCCACGGACAGTTCAGCAAACCAGGTCTTACAATCTTTTCCCTGAATAACACACGCCATGTGGAGGCAGGCTGGGGAAATATCAGCAAAAAAACTTTATTTAATATGTAGAAGTGCATGATGAAGTGGAAAATCACTCATAGGGTGCAGACCTTTGCCAAGGCAGCTCATTTCTCTTTATAATTAATTAATTAATTAAAGGATCACTACCAAAGTTTTATAAATTCTAAGTTTTTGACCTATCCTGAAAATTTTACAGAAATTTGTTCATGACTTTTTCATTTTTAGAGTAAGGATGTAACTGGCAAACCAATGAAAAGGAAAAAAAAACCTTTGCAAAGGAGTTATTTAGGACAAAGATTTCAAAACATTACCAGACTTCTTATTCTTTGGCAAAGTAACACCAAACCTGTGCGTATTGGTTAAAATACTTTTTCTTACCTAAATAAGTGCCAAAATGTAAATGATCTCTACATAATGAAACTAAATTTAATTGCATTGTGCTATTTGCATTGTGGTTTTGATGTGGTTCCTGAAATTTGACAACCGGTGGCGGGGGAGGGGGGGGGGGCAATCGCTCCTGGACACAATCTTTAGCATCAAAGCTAAAAAGCTCACCTAAAGCTATGAGGTAGGGGGGATACAGAAGGCAGACATCTGTTCTCAGACTGTCGTTGATAATCCTCCTGAAATTAATAAATATTGCTGGGATTATATAAGTCACACATTGAACGTTCACAATTAATTTTGTCCACACAGCTAATAAGTACGAACTGTCAAAAACACAGAACTAGGTTTATAGATTGTAATATTGGTCAATCAATGAACAAAGCGATAAATTAATCAATCAATCAGTAAATTAGTCAATGATTTCATGTTACCATGACAATGGAAGTAGTTCTTCCTGGCCCAAGTCAGCTATGTACTGAGTTAGTGGTCTATAAGGGTGGTACAGCACCAAGGAGCAATCCTGACACAACACATAAAAATATTTCATTACGACAATCAAAACTAGAAAGTGCTCCGAGAGTGCAGACCTCTGCCATGACAAAATGTAAATTATAATTTCAAACAATATTAGGATACCTGGATTCAGTTAGAACTCACTGAAATCATTTGTTTCTAAAAGGGAGAAATTTTTATCAAAGTGTTTTGAAAATGTTATAGCTTGTCTTCTAATAAAAATGCAAACAGAAAAGCTAACAGCATAACCTTTTTTGGCAGAGGTAATAATTACTTACTGGAAGCAATTTTTAAATTATATCATGATACTTCTTCTTGTATTTATCAAGTATATTGCCATACATAGTGTAATTTTTTTTTTTAATTATCTGATTTAAAACTAAGAGGTTAGTGTAACAAAGCAAATATATATTCATATGATGGCTCCCTTTGAACTTATTCAGAAATTATTGCACTGTAAACAAAGTATTACCATCATTTCAAGAAGGAAAAATTCACATTCATGGACATGGTTCACTCTATATGGGAACTCTTGTTGAAAAGCATGTTGGAACTTGGTCTTCACTGAAATAGAAATTCATATCTTTATAAAGGAAATATTGATAACAAATGGTTAATTGTATAGTCTCCATATGTGACAAAATCTGGACAGGTTTAAAAATCTTTTGAAACATTTCCATCATCAGCCTAGGACCTTATCACTATGCCAAATACCAGAAAAACTGAACCAGACCCAGTAAAATGTTACTCTGAAATTCTGTAATATATATTACCTTTTACAAATAAATAAATAAATAAATAAATAAATAAATGATACTCACAAACTGTCTGGAATGTGGATATTAGCCTGCTGTTTGAAATTACTCCAAATTCCTAAAATGGCAAAGGGAAAGCAATCATCATACAATGTTTTCATTATCAGGTTGGATTTATAAATTTGGTGTCTCTTATAATAAAAACACAGCACAACAAGCTGGTTATGAACTTAGCAATGGTTGTAGTTTTACCAATCCATTATGATTATGTTACATCTCAGCATCTATATTACATCTCAAAGAGTATAGTTTACAGATTATTGTGACGGAAAATAAACCCAAGCTCCAGTTTAAAATGTTATTATACACAGTTAGATATTACAACAGTTTCTTCAAAACAACAGCTGAAGACGGCGACATATCAAATTATGTCTGTGTTTCTCGAGCCACATCCCACATACATCAGGGAGGAACACGTCATCTACAGTACAGTCTACAATATCACCAGTATTCTTTGAAGAACTTCTCTTGTGAGAAAGCAGAATATTGAATTGGGAATAACTCTGATTGTAGCTGGTAGTAAAAGAAACTATTTGAAGGAACTATTGTAATAATTACAATTATAATTGTTCTCGAATCTTGGTTGAAATTCAAAGACAAACCTCAACTTTGGAAGCCAAAAATATACAGGTAGGCGCCATGAGGAGTGGGTCTATACAGCGCAGGGAATTTCTGAAATAAATAATTAAACAATGTCCAATTTAAAGTAAAAAACGGGAATTATTTGCTCCTTTCGATTTTGAACTGGGCCAGTAATTTTAAGCAAAGATTTAACACCATGAGGTTGAAGCAAAATGACCACATTGCTACTTAGGTAAGAAGAAGAGTGAACAGTTCTGCTTTTAATTACAATTTTATAGAAAACCTACTTTGAGTTCTACGTTTTTCATTCATGTGAGCTGCTTTCATTATGGAGATGTAGACTTATGTACAAAATTAGATAGGTTTGGATGGGGTGATAAAATGAAAATGGTTGATTTTCTTTCTTCTTAAAAAGATAAAATGGTATTCATATTGTATGCATTTAAAACACAATGTATTGACAACATACGTACCTGGCATAAAATCTTTTAAAATACACGGTAGCTGTGGCGATCACTTGCTGTCTTACTTTCAGCTGTTCTCCTAAAGACTGGATTACTGAAAAATATCAATCAATCAGTGAACAGTTTAATAATAAATATACATAAATGCAGATTAACAACACCAAAGCATCTGTGTGTATTGTTACAGATAAATCCAACAAATTTGAATATTTTCAGCCATTATTTTTCTGTCACAATTGGTGAGTGAAAAAATCTGCATTTTCTGTAAAAAAAAAGTGTTTCATGGCAAAAACAATATTAACAGATTTAGTGTCATCAATAATGCAATAAACTGATGATCTTCAGTTCTCCAAATTAAATTCAATTCTTCACATCCTACAATTTTACTAACAAAATGTTGAAAAATATCTTCTTACAATTGGCATAAAATATCATCAACTTTTGATACTCTTCTTCTGTCAGCACCTTCAGGTCAATCTGTCTCTCCCTGGTCAGATCCTGCCTATCCAATATCCACTGCTGACTAGAATAATAATAATAAGAAGAAGAAGAACCATGACTCTCATCAAATCATTTCATTGTCTTGTAAAAACACCAGAAAACTGAAAGATAAATTGCCAAACTGATTTACTTATAAAGCAGGAAGCAGTAAATACAGCAAATTTCCTATATCATTGACCAATGAAACCACAAAATTCAATTTAGAAAATAAAAAACTTTAAAAGGAGAAAAAAGACTTATAGGGTGGTGGTAGATTGTGGTGTCTGCGTTTGTGTGAGCATGGGGAGGGGGGGGGGTAACATCCAAATTAGAAATGTGTTTGCCTTACTTGTTAGAATGGACACATACATGTAGATCTACAGTAATGCACCATTCTATTAATTTTTTTCTCAAATGAACACATTTTAACGTCTATATCATATCCCGATGTAGTCCATACCCAAACTATAATTCCATATTGAATCACCATATGTCAAGGTCTTGAAAATACATATCGAACGCAGTCTACCGTCTTAGGATTTAAACTAAACGTGAAGCACTGTAAGAGTGCCTAAAATAGTAAAAAGGGTCGATCTAAATTCTAAATCTGGTGACAATTTTAACATTAAAAATACACAAGTACTCACTAATGTGAACTCTGCCAGAAATTCCCAGCCATTGTGGACGCTATAACTGGTCACAAAGACCCTAACCTGTTCTGATATTTCTACTGTTTGTGTTACATATTATTAGTAAAATTGAGAGGTCTGAAATCCATCACTTTGTTACGTTACAAATGGCGGAAGGCGGGACATGCGCATTCGGGATATAGGGGATTCCGGGGAATCCCAGTCTCGTTGTGAAATTGGGTCGGGGAATCCCGCCTTATCTTCGCATTTTCGGCCAAGTCCGATTGCCAGTTACGGAAATGAAGGGGCCGCTAATGTTAGATGAAATGACTGTGTAGGTTAAAACTACGAGAGAGAGAGAGAGAGAGAGAGAGAGAGAGATGTGTGCGTGGGGGAGGGTGGGGGGAGGAGAGGGAGAGGCCGAGAGAAAAGTGCACTTGTTCGGCCATTTTCTTATTCATCTAAGTTTCTTGATACAAAATAAAACCTTTGAAATTGTGATATAACTGCAATTCGCCATTTTATTTGCACGTGTAACAAGATGAAGGTGTCATTCCAAGAGAGCATATGGTAAAATCTTTATTACACTGTAACTTCCAAAGAATATACAGGGAGTAAAACTAAAAGGAATGAATACTAATTCAACCTTTTTATTCACCTCACAACACTGCACTAAAATACAATTAATTGTTCAATTATGATCATTACACGTCTATGTCATCAAGTTTCTTTAAGTTAATCAACAAACAATAAGCTCATGAATATAAATATGATGTACCCTGGTGTACTAGTACCTGGAACAGGGATATTACTAGTAGTATGATGGATACAATGGTCACTTTTGTGAAGTATGCCAAGTGTATACAGAAAACACGATTTAGGAATGCTAGAGACCAAGCAATTTTTTAAGAGAAGGATTGAAAAAACATTACTGCTGAGAGTCTCTCATCTTGGCTCAATTAATGTAGAAAAAAAGCATGATGAAAATTGTGCACTACTAACAAAACGTTATCACATTTTCATTGATTTAAATTATTGCACATTATCTCAATCACATTATAAAATACAGAGCTCGTCACTGCCTTCGTATTCCTGAATGCTAGCACACGGTTACACATGTGCCATAAGGTTATTCTTTAAGGTTAAAATTTCTTAACAGTAAATTGAACTTTAATTCACTCATAGCGCATTATTGCTTTTAATATTTTGATCTTGTTTTTTTTTTGCTGGTATGACCATTTAGTAAAGATAATGAAAATCTCAAACACTGTACTGATATCAATAAATCTACCTACTGGATTTGTAAATACATGAATGTCATCATTATGACTAATAATAGCAACAATTTTTCACTCACACAAATTCTAAGCATACTTAACTACATTATCCTGTTCAACAGGATAGGTATACAGATATAAACTTTTACAGTAAAAATGAAAAAAAAAAAGTAAAAAGATGGCATACTGTGAAATCAGTTAACATGGAAGGTATAGGTATTGTCACTAGTGAAAAAGTCATGCAAAGCAAATAATTGACAAATACAGTGAAAAAAAGAAAATAAAAATTTGAAGCATGCAAAGTGTTAATGACATAATCCTGAATATATCGAGTTCATTTGAGTAATCTTGTTATTTCTGTACTTCTCACTTGATTAGTAACTGAATACCATGATCATTGCTGAAATAAAACACATAAAGCTTACAAAAGACTAACAATAAGCATTACAAAAAGAATTATAAAAGTCTTAAAATCATGCAACTTCATTTGTAAAATTAAGTATTACAGAACTTACATGCTGTATTTGAGCAAAAACTTACTTTAAAGAAGCTATGCACAGCAAGTGTACTGGTGTAGTGTATTATGATAAATGACAATGAAAACTACAAAAAATCACTCAAACTTGTACTATATTTTAAACAAGAGCATGTGCAATATGTGGCATATTCAGCTATTGGATCTTTTTTCAATTTGTTTGTTTGTTCAGTTTTGATCAATTATGCCATGTCTATAAAACCAGCAATTACAAAGCCATAGCAATGCCAACTTCACTTAATTCACATTACACGCATTCTGTTAATTTCTACCAGAAATTCACAAACAATTTGCTGTCTGGTGTAGTTTTTTTTTTTCTTTCTTTGTTGAAGGCATACAAAGAGTGTTTCATTGTAAGCAACCTGAGAACTCTACCAGTGACATTCAAAACTGGGGTAAAAAAACTCTGGAAAACTGGGATCAAAAAACAAAATAACTGGAGGACTGTACTGGTAAGACTGAGAAACTTTTACCCATACTAATCAAATCTCCACTCAGATTGTACTGTATAAAAATGCAATACAATCAGTGTCTCAATTTTTTGGTTGTGCAGTTGCTTTTGAGCAAAAATTCCAATTAAAATATCATCATCCTGTGCGCATCTTTCAAAAGAGAAAGTGTATTCCGTGGAAACTGACCATGGCCATTTTGAACCCTCCCATCCCCTCAAGAAATGTCAGCACTGGTTTATTTTTAGTTATCACCAATCTCATTTCACACTGATGTAATTGCTTTGGTGACTAATAAAGACATCTTTTCAGTCTTCACTAGTAACTGAGATCAAGTGAACTTTCAAAATGCATCATTTTGGCATCTCTCCTTTCATAGAAAACCCACTCTCTTACTTCCTCTCACTGATAGTATACATTTCAAAGATTTAAATAAAAGTAACAGATATCCCATAAACTGTCCCTACTGGCTACTGATATCTAACCCTGTAGTTTTATAAACTGGCAATAGGCGGAGATTCAATGGTCACCTGATAATTAGGTCAAGTGATATTAACACACAAATATGACAATTCCTCACTAAATTGTGTCAAAAGTAAATTCCATTGTTTGTAGTTACTACAAATTAAATTTAAATGATAATACTAAAGCTTGCTAGATTCAAGGCAGACTTTTTCCCAAATAACTAGAGTTAAACTGCATTCCCACAGATTTTGGATCGATCTATCCCCATGGGGAGTCTCACTAGATTATTGTCAGCTTAAACAGCTTAAATATCTGTCCTGCCTACTAAAAGCTATAAGGGGATAATTAACTTCTGTGCGCGCTCGGCTGACAGTAATTTAGCGTGAACCCCCAGGGAGTTAGGTCGATTCAGATGGATCAATCTAAATCTGTGGTATTGCAGTCTAACATCATCCTACCAGTACTGTGTGTGTGTGTGTGTGTGTGTGTGTGTGTGTGTGTGAGGGCGGGGGGATATTTGTGAGCTCTTATCATCTATCACTTTTCGTCAAAAAAAAAAATGAAAAATTACAATGGCAAGAATCCTGGGCATACTGACACAAACTTAATACTCTATAAAATCAGTATTGAATTAAACAGCAATACTAGACACATAATAAAATATAATGCAATACACAGAGTTATTTAAAAAAACTTGTAAACATTGAGGGCAGTAATACCATAGTAAACAGCCTGAGGATAAATATCAACAGTAACAAATGGTGAGTTTTTACATAATTTAACAGTCTAAAGTTTTAACTAGTGTCTGTTAGCTTAACCATAGACGTTTACAATAGGTGTAATTCTAGCCTTTTCACATCACTAGCTAGGTTAAAACAATCAATGTGCAAAAGATTTTTGGTGTTTTCCATGCTGTTTCTTATCTCATTTTTAAAGGCATAAAATGCATGTCAAACCCTTATGTTGCTAAAAGTTAATTTTCCTGAAAATTTCATCAATAGTCCCTTCATCTACAAAGTTATTCATATCCAAAACTTACTGAGAAAAGTTTGAACTATACCTTTCATTTGTCAGTATAATGCCAAAACTCAACAAAAAGACATAATAATACCTATAATGTAAAGACAAGAACAGGAAAACACTAAAATTTCAGAGATGAATATGAAAGACCCAGTTATTTGTAACTAATTAATGACACCACAATTTGATTAAAATTTCCACAGCTGCTTGAATCTGAGATCAACATAAGTCATTAATCGAACAGCAAGCTGCAGAAAATAGAAGCATAACAATTAAATAAATAAAAAGCAGTACATACATTGTTTAAATATAAAAGTACCTTACATTGGCACAACTTCTTCTAGGGCTGGTTTTAACAGCGCTCTTTAAAGCAGTTAGATAAAACAAACTGAATTAATTTTCAAATACTAATAACAAATATGGCATTCAAATTGGTACATGATCCATCTTCCAATCAACAGGGGAAAAAACCCTCAAACATCTTAATCAAGCAAAAGCCACATAAAAAACAGACAAGACCACTGCATTTCCCCCAATTCCTGAAGTCCAATGCGAAGATTTATGCTCAGTTGCTTGTAGTCTGTCTTCAAACAGATGAACAAGGTCAAAAATCAAGGTCATCAAAAGGTCACCAAAAGGTCACATAAGGGTCAACCAGAGGTCATACAGTAGTCCACTTCTTGAAGTCCAATGAAGCAGAGTTCACACAGTAACGAAGTTTTGTTGGCAGTGGACCATCGTCAAAGAGATGACCGAGATGTGCGTTACATTTTTTACATTTTACTTCCAATCTGTGCATACCTGAAATTGATATCAGCAAATTTTAGTTTTTATTTAGTTCAATTATTGTATTTATTTAGTTTTTTTATCAGATTCCTAAGCATTTCAAATTCTTGACTTTCAAATTTTGTTCTTTAAGTTTAACTATTTCTAATATATACTAAAAAAGTTGAGAAAAAATTGATAGTCAAATCAAGTCTTCAACCTAATGAACTTGACTTTTCGAAATAGTAATAAAACAAAATTGTCTCAGGTTTGTATTACTAGTTAAAGGGATAGTAACTCTTCTTATGAGATCTATATTTCACAATAAAAACATTGTGAACAACTCATAGAAATATAATATATTGTGCTGTACCACAAAAACGTCAGTTATAGCTATTATTTTGATATCTGAGCTTGTCTTTAAATCACATAACCTCCATTGATGGCTATACTCTGTTATAATCTCTTAAGAGATTATAACAAAAAAAAAAAATTTTTAGAAAAAAACCAGGAACTAACTTTGAATATAAAAATGGATTCATTAACCATTGGTAAGTATGGGAAAATTGTTGTTCACTCCAGGAAAATTCATTTTTTGGCCAAAACGAAGAGTTATTATCCCTTTAACATTGTTATTATTATTATTTCTGAGTCACCATCATTAAGACAGAAATTAAAACTGATGATTGAAACTAATCAAACTCATAAAGCTAAAACAAAAAGTCAAAATACAAAACTAGCACACATAAAAAACTCACCCATTCCTACTCCAAATATCACAAAGATACACATGCTCTATATTCCTTCACAAAAAGTACTTACAAATTACACCATCATGGCATATATCTATATAATTCTTTAAAAAAAAGTAAAAGGCAGAAACTCATGACATCCTTTGCATTCTTGTCTACCAATAGCACATGGCATCCCTCACCACCAGGACAAAAAATAACACCTTTTGTTAAATATATTACAATTAACAGGCAGGAAGACTGAGTAACACATGGATAAAAGAGCTCTAGGGATGGTTTTACATAAATATATTTTTTAAAAATAGATTAATTTACAGGCAAAAATGTAGATAGATAGATAGATAGATAGATAGATAGATAGAAAAATTTATGAGTAAAAATTTGAAGAAGATGAAGTTATTTTTTGGCAATATGAGGGATTAATTTTGTTTGTGTCTTGGCATGTCAACTTTATTTTAGTTGTATAAGAAACCAGGGAAGTGGTTTATTTTCATTCTTGGGAATCCACACTGGCTTTTAATTATCTTTTAATATCTCTGCAGCTAGCTGTTGTTTAGCTTGACTATTACTTATTATTTATTTATTTATTTATTTATTTATTTATCTTTTCTTTTACAAAATAATTTACATTTTACTTTGCAACTTAGGAAACTTTTGGACGGTTTTTCCTTGTAAAAGATGTCACAATTTTCCTTACAACTGGCCTTTTCAAATCTTTTTACAGAACTGTATATAAACCTCATAAAGTGTGGTCGATTTCTGCATATCAAATTTCTAAGAAATCTCAACACTTTTCTCCTTAAATCACCCATATAAGCCATACCACATCCATAACTGTTGACAGAATTACAATCTATCGACACATTTCTGTGTAATAATTTTTTTTTAAATTTCTCAGTCAATCTAATAATAAAGTTGGGAGAATTTCACTTGTTACAGCAAAAATTGAAGTATACAGGCACAGCATGAAATAGGCTCTTTACATAATTTTATTTATTTTCTTGACAGATTTGGATAAGGTATACTTCCAAGTTAATGAGTTAGAGGGTTTTTTTCCTATATATGTAAATTCTCAAACTACATTCCTTTTACATGATTGCCTCAGACTGAACACATTGATTGTCACATGATTTTCCTTGTTTTTCAACCTCAAATAAATCAAATTCTAAGAATGTCTATCTCATTCAAAGTTCTGACTTCACTTTCACATGGTTCTCTTTGTCCTCAGTCTTCACGAAATCTAACGCTGCAGAGTTAATACAGTATCGTAATCCTGTCGGCTCTGGTCCGTCAGTAAACACGTGGCCCAAATGTGCGCCGCATTCCGAACAAATGACCTCAACGCGCTGCATACCTGTTGATAAAACAGGAGATGTGTGAAAAAAAAAAATGACCAAAAAATTTAAAAAAAAAACTATTCCTTAAGGCCACACTTTTTTATTTTTATGGATGACATCCTCTGGGGACCCCAAAGTCGGTGCGAGCGGGCGAAAAAAAAAACAGTCCAAAAAAAAAAAAAACTGCTTAAGAAAAGTTATGTTTTCAGTACACAGCTGGAAACACTTATTTACCACAGAAACACGTATCAAACTAACAACATGTCTTTATCCATGCTCTCAAAATATTAAAGCTTTGTGAATAGGGCCTATTTCGTAGAAAGGTAAAAAGTCATGAATATATATGCTGCATATTACCGAATCTATTTAAGGTTATTTCATGCATTCTGTTGGTACAGCATCCATTAAAACAAATATCAAATAAACAGCGTGTCTTAATTTGTACTCTCAGAAAATTAAAGCAATAATAACTCTTCATTTCGGCCAAAAAATGAATTTTCCTGGAGTAAACAACAATTTTCCCATACTTACCAATGGTAAATGAATCCATCTTTACATTCAAAGTTAGTCCCTGGTTTTTTTCTAAAAAGTTTGGTTTTTTGTTAAAATCTCTTAAGAGGTTTTAACAGAGTATAGACATCAATGGAGGTCACGTGGTCTAAAGATAAGTTCAGATATCAGAATAATAGCTATAACTGCTGTTTT